CTCACCCTCGTCTGAGCTCCGCAGCCGTGCGTCTGCTCCCACGCCGGCCCCTGTCCCGTCTCCTTTTCCATCGTCACCTTGTCATCTCGGGGCGCCCCGCCTCTCGGAGAAAGCCAGCAAGGCCTCTCCCAGGCCGCCGAGCAGGAGGCTGCAAAGGAGCGAAGAGGTCAGGAGGCTGCCGGCGCCACATTCGCGGGTGAGGGACGACCCTGGTTCTGCCGTGGGGGCGTCCCTCACCCCACTTCCAGGTCAGGCCCAGGAACCGCCAATCATGCCAAGTCCCCCTGAGCTGAGGGGGAAGAGGGGGTTTTGCAAGGTGGAAGAGGGGCTGTGTCCACTCGCCTGACGGGTCGTGTGTGTGTGTGTGTGTGTGTGTGTGTGTGTGTGTGTGTGTGTAAGACTGCGCCTGGGCCAGCTCTGGAGGAAATACCGCAGGAGGGCTCCCCGTGAAGCTGCCGGGCCGTCTGCTAAAGGGGCTGATGCCATGGAGTCTCGCAGAATTGCTAAGGTGACGACCTCTGAACCCGTTTCGTTTAGATTCACTGCACATCACAGATGACCTGGCTTTTCTGTTCACCCAGAAAAAGCCTGCTGCTCCCTTCAACCTCCCATATAGGATGCGCCTGCCCCCGACTCCGGGCAAGTGCAGGGCCACCGTGCCTGAGGGGAGGCTGCCCGGGACTCTGGGTTTGGGGGTTTTTACTCCTGTTGGGGTTTTTACACCCACCCCCGTTTTCTGTTTCCACGGATCCTCCTCAGTCACAGGGGAGCGAACAAACGTCAGTGACTAATACGCAGGCTGCAGAGCGCCAGCCAGAAACCCACCCACCGCGCTCTGGCCGCTGTTTTTAGTGTCTCCCAGTACGTCCTTCCCTTCTCTCTCATCGGGAGCCAGGCCCATCTCGGTTTTCACTTGCTTATTATTGTGGTTATTCAGTGAATCCCTATTCAGTGAATCCCAACGGAACCCGCCGGGCGGAGGACAGAGCCGCCACCCCTTTCCCGCTGCGGCCCGCACTCACGTCGCACCCGGTGAACATTTCCTCGGTGGGTGATGTGAGTGAAAAGGGCTCCGTCACGCTCGGGAGGACATGCAGGCCGCACACGCTCAGTGACCATCAGCAACCGCATGGGATGGTCTGATCACAAACTGACCGGGCAGCCCCGCCCAGAGCCCTCGGCAAGGCCGTGCTGGCCCTCAGTGGTCCTCGCCGCCCTTACGCATCCAGACAACACGCCGTTGGAAACCAGAGTGATTTTCTTGTCGAGACCCCTCAACGGCACAGGCACCGAGCAGACCCCACAGACCCCATGGTCACCTGTGCCCCCGACGCCATCTCCAGGGGCGGGAGTTGCTTCTTACCAAGTCCCTGTCCCCACCCGTAGGGAGGCTGTTACTCCTGCTGCTCTTACCCACCTGGAGCGTTCCCAGTTCCCACCTTGCTTCTCCGCCTCCTTCACCTCCTGCCAAGGGGTCAGGACCTTCCCTGTGTCCCCCCTGGCCTTGGACGCATGCGGGAGCAGAAATGGCTGCTCTCGGGCATCTCCTCAGTCTGTCGCGACCTTGCTTCTGGGTGCGTCCTCTGCATTTGGCTCAAATAAACTCTTGTGAAGCCTTCTCTGGTTTGGGGCCGTCTTCCATCAATAGATGAAAGCTCCCCTTTCCCATCCATATTTCAAACTATTTTGTGTTTTCCTCGTTTCCTCACCAATGTGTGTGCCTGACATACGGCACCATTCCTCGGGGGACTCGGAGGGACAGTGCGCCTCCGCGGGCCAGGCTGTGCTGGGAGACAGCAGGCCCCGGGAGCATTTAAAGAGGAGGCTCCCATGTGCGACCCAGGGGGAGACGGTGAGTTCCGGGGCCACGACCCTGGATGCAGTGTGCGGTGCGGGGAGAAGCTCCCCTCACCCTAATCCATTCTTCCTGTAACCGACGCGGCAGTCGCCATGCTGGCCCCTAGCTGAAGGCGAACGGCATCTTCACTCAAGGACGAGATGTGGTCACTCGTGAGGACGCTGGTGCCAGGAGGCCTGTGCCGGGACCAAGTTTGCGTGATGCCCACACCGGGCAGCCCGGTCAACGGCGGGTCAGAGAGGGCGGGCAAGGCGAGGGCTGAGGG